ACTAATTAACAATTGCAGACACAAAAGAAGGAGCTTGGGGCGCAATCCAATGCTACAAATGAAGAGATTATCACACAGGTTCTAGGACCTGAGCGACCTGGTCATGTTCGAACATATGGATTGGGTCCTTCTACAACAGATATATTTGGAGGTATAGGCAATCACAAGAACAAACTCATATCATCCAAACGCAAGTCCAAGAGCAACTTAACCAATATAAAGCACAAATGGAGATACAAATGAAGGAGATGATGGATGCTATGCTTAACCAAAAGAAAGTACAAATGAAGATGCAAAGCACAATCCAAGCTCAACAAGAACGAATAAAGCAGTTGGACCTATTGCACCAGCTACTGCACATGTACATTCACAACAACAATCCCATGCATACACCTGATCGTTTAATTGCCATCATTCGTCCGAGGAAGTGAGTAAATAGTTAATTATGAAATTTTTAATATTACATTTTATTTATGTTATTTGTTCTTGTCAAATGCAGGTTCACATATCAAAGAAAGGAAAGAAGAAGAAGAAGTAGATATGACAAACTCAATGAAAGAAGGCCGCTGGAGTCTACTGAATTCAAGGTTAGAACTGTTCTTAATTTTAGTTTATTTGTGAATTTTAATTTATCCTATTTAGGTGTTGCCATCATGCCATGCGATGCCTATTTACTGTTGCATCGACTAAATGACTAGATACAGATGCCAACTACTAGCATTATATTATTGGGATTTACCTGCAATAGAGACATATATATATGTATATATATATATATATATTACAACTCTGTTTCAAGATTGAATAGCAACAAAATAAATTGGGCAAGTAAGAAGCTATTTATCACAAACCCTTTAGAACACCTCTTTCAGAGTTCAACTTGAACCCACTCTCCTCAATAAATTGATTGAGGCTTTTGATATTTCTCAATTGAGATTTCAGATGATGCGTGGATACAGTGACATGATTAACTGCATAACCATTGACAAGAATCCAGGCAGCATATTCACTTCCCTGAAAATACATAAATCAAACAGTAACAGTTGTAGAATGAATGATGTCATAATTAATCCTGCTAGTATAAACTTCCAAACTAAATGTGCTGAAAACAAAAGATCACTTGAAAGGAGAAAAAGGATTGCATCACAACAATTAGGTAACAAACCATAGAGGTTGGAATGAGCTGAAGCTGATTGAGATTATTTATACAAATTTTGCCCCATTTCAAATGTTAATGCAGCAGCAGTCTTATATGCTATTTTTTATTATTATGTTTATGAGATCCAAGGACAAATTTGTGATGATAGAATCTGAATTTTCATGGTTTTTTTTTTGTGGAAATTTCAGGATTTGGAGATATAAGTTTTGTGCTAGTGTATTAAGACTTTAGATATGGCATCAAAACCCTTAATGGCAAGCAGATCGTCTCCATTGACAAACTCAGATGTGCCAGAGTCGCAACATGTCTCTCTTGTTTCAAGCATTTGAGCTTTGTGAGAAGTTGGTGATTTTTTATTTTAATTTTTAATTTTTGGATTGAAGAGTACATATATTTTGTGTTGTAAAAGTGTACGTCTAGAGACCATGTTTAATGAGCATAATGAAGACATTTATGCAAAGTTTCTATTAAAAAGATGCAATTGCACTCTCAGTCACACTTTTAGGGAGGGAAACATAGTTGCAGATAAGTTAGCAAATATAGGAATGGCCCAAGATGAACATTTGGTAATATTGGAGGATCCATCAGATGAAGTTAGAACTGTGGTCATTGATGATATGACTGGAATGAGTATTGTAAGGGACTAATCCTCTATTGTTGTAATGCTGCTTTAACAGTTTATGCTTTCTATTTCAGTTGAATCAAAAAAGAAAATACTAATAATAATAATAACATTAATAATAATGGAGTCATTTGAAAATTTGGCGAATAAATTCATAACTCACGAAAGCTACCCCAAAAAAAAAAAAAAAATAGAAGCAAATCAAAATTGAAGTTGTTGACTTTTTATCCTCTTTAACGAATTCAAATTTAAGATTTTCATGTAATTCCACTTGTTGAGATAAATAAAATAAATAAATAAAAAAGAAAAATAATTATATAATTAAATAGTAGATGAGCATGTAAATTAACACTGAAACTGAATAATAAAATTCATATTATTCATAAGAAATAGTAGATGTGCATGTAAATTAACATTGAAATTGAATAATAAAGTTCATATTAAAAGACATTTGTTATCAGCATACAACATATAAGAGTTTTAGGAACAAAATTTTTTGATCCCTAAAGGTGCAAATTTTGTTGGAAAAAATATTTGAGAATTAATTTTTATCGTTTCGAGAATAGTTGCTAAAAGGTAATCCCGAAAAGTAAAAATAAAAAAAAATTTAGAGATAAATTTTTTAAAAGGTCACCAATAAATGTACTTTAAAAAACAAAATAATTTGATCTCAAAAGAATTATATTTTGAGACAAATTTTTGTCCTAAAAGGATATACTAATTCATCATTAAATGTCCAATTTCCTCTCTAAAACTATAATAACACTTTTAGCAACAAAAATATATCAAAATATATCATTATTAAAAAGTGAGTCCATCTCAAAATATTTTATTGCTAAAATCTTAATTTGTTATAGTGGGTGATTACCTGAAATTTTCTTTTCAATGCTCTCATGAACTAAAATCATTTGGTTTAGTGGGCTAGTAGTAACTGTATTAATCAAGCAAAAACAACATTTTACCTTAATAACAAAAATAGATAAATTTTCATTCTAATATCAAATTATTACTCAAAAATCAATTCAACCTATATCTTTTTAATTACAATAATATTACATTTAAATTTTTCAATTTTATATCAATTTTATCTTTATCATCAACTGCCGTCTATAATCAAATAAAATTATTGATGTGGCACTAAAACTTCATTTTACCACTTAAACTATTTCAGAAAATCAATTACACTCCTGAATATATTTTTGTGATACTATATGGTAATGTTCATTGGAATGAAAGTCAAATGAAATAATCCTTAAATCAGAACAATCTCGGGGAAAAAAAATAAATTATATAAGTTGTAAGACAGTCTTTGTAAAAGAAAATTGTATACATTTGTGTAAAATAACTTGAAAAAAAGTAGGAATACAAATTATATAAATGTAAATTCTGCATAATGACTCATCGAATGACCAACACTTGTATAGGTCTGCACTTTGCTTTTGTACTTCCTCTGCAAACCCAATCAAAACCTCCAAATTTACAATTAAAATTGTCTTTAATAAAAAAATAATAGTAAATAATTAAAATATATAATAAAAAAAATCAATAGAATGATGCAAGCAATCAAAAAAATAAACTAGAAATGGTTGCAGTTGTTGAAGAACCGTTCATGTTTTTTTTTTTTTTTTTTTAATTTTAAAAAAAGATGATTGCTGAAAACAATTAGCCACTTGGTAAGTCTTTTCTGATTGGTATTGGAAATTATATAATAACAAATTTAACTACTCTTGTCTATCTATAAATGGACACTTTTGCCATACTAAATCACTACCACCCTCCTTTCAAGCGCAATTAGGCATAGAAATTCCAATTTTCTTCAATTAAAATGGGCACTCACTTTATCCTTGTAAGCATAGCCATCATGACCTTAGCTTCTGCACTTGTCTCTGCTTCTGACTTAAGTCCTCTACAAGACTTCTTTGTTTCTACTAATGACTCTAAATCTGCAGGTAATTCAACTCTATCTCTCAAATTTATACCTTCCCAACTCAAGTCCCATGTTTTGAAATATGATTTTAGTGACAACTTATTTAATGCAATTGCATTTTGATTATAATTAAAACTTCAGCTTCTAATAGTCCATATGGGCTTTTCATTTTGAAGTCATTTATTGAATGGTTAATTATATATTTTGGTTGTCAAAATATGCAGTTTATATGATTTTGGTTTTTTAATTTGTGTTATTTTCATTTCCAAACTATTAAATGCGTATTACAATGGTATCCATAATTACTACTGCCAATATTCACTGTCAAAATCATAAGCATTTTTGGGACAAAAAATTACACCACAGCAAAAATTAAAAAAGGATTAATTACAATTTTTATTTTCTAAAATATGCATTTAGTTCATTTTTTATCAATAACATTTTTTTTTTTTGGTCAATTTGTAAATGGATGTGTTTTTTTTAAGGTGTATTGTTTTTGTTCAAAAAACAGTCCTGATTCTAATGATGAATATTGATGGTGTTAGCCATGTCAACCACTTTAAAACTCTTAATACTTTTGGTTGAAATCGACACAATTAAATTATTGGTAGGCTATAAATGAAACGAGACAAGACAAGTATTAGGTTGTTTAAGTTCAAATTAAAAACTCAAGAAGTTTCAAAATACGTTCAAGTTTTGTTTGTTTACCTTATTAGTGGATCTTAAATGAGTTTTAATCAAACCGATAACAAGTCGAGTTTGACTAGTTTGGTTTTTATAACATATATATAACTTTATTTAATCGAGTATTAGGATGTTTAAGATTAACCTAAAAACTTAATGATTTTTAAAATGTATTTAAATTTGATTTGTTTACATAACAAATCGAAGTCAAATGAGTTTTCAACAAGTCAAACTCGAGTAACTTAATTTGTTTTATAACTCTAAATGTTGGAAACTAAAATGACACAAAAGGTAGACTTTGAAGATGAAAATTGTTGTTAGCCTAATATTGTGATGATATTCTTTCACCTAATATTATTTCTTTGCATGCAGTGTTCGTAAATGGGAAATTCTGCAATGGCCCTAAGCTCGCCACAAGCTAATGACTTTTTCTTCTCCAGCCTCCTCACTCCACGAAACACATCCAATCTAGTCGGATCAACGGTCACTCCTGTAAAGGTCATGCAAATACCTGGTCTCAATACTCTTAGCATCTCCTTAGCTCGCATCAACTTCACACCTTATGGCCTCAACCACCCCACACGCACCCTCGTGCAACTGAGATCCTCATGGTCTTAGAGGGTACTCTCTACGTCGGTTTTGTGAGATCCAACCTTGGCAACAATCTCTTGGTATTGTATCCAAGTGATGTTTTTGTGTTCCCAAAGGGTCTTATTCACTTCCAATTTAATGAGGGAAATTCTAATGCAGTAGCTCTTTCTGGCCTGCGTAACCAAAACCACGGTGTCATTACCGTTGCTAATGCCGTGTTTGGGAGAAATCCAAAGATTTATGATGATGTACTTGCCAAGGCATTCCAAGTGGACAAGAACGTAGTGGACAATCTTCAAGCTCAATTTTGGTGGCCCGTCAACAAGAAAATAAAGAGAAAACTCACGAATCCACTCTTTGTTAAACTTTAATATAGCATAAATAAGTGGATTGGCTATGAATGATTTCCTTACGAGTATTGATTAAATGGTAGTCAAAGCATGCATATTGCACTTTAGTTCTTAATTTATTTGTTTTAAATTTTGTCAATTTGATTTCCCAAACTACAAAAATGGAAGTTTAAATGGTCCTTAATTTTCATGCAGTTTAAATATTAAAGGATAAATTATTAATAAGTCCTAATAGTTGGACTTAAGTCTCATCAAATCTTATTGAAAATAAATCTTAATAAAATTGTTGCTAAAAATATTTTTTTGTGACGATTTTTTTTGCATGTCGCTAAAAATTGATAATTAGTTACTTTTTTGTCACAATTTTTATAAATTGTCGTAATTTTTATAAATTGTCGTTAAAACTAACAATTAATGACATTTTCTATAACAAATTTTTCAAATTATAGCTGAAAGTTAAAAATCAGTGACTTTTTTTAGATATTTTTTGGGTAAATTACAAATACACCCCCTGAGATTTCCTTAAAGTACAAATTCCCTTCGGTGGTTTGAAAAATTACAAATACCTCTTATTAAAAATTTTTATTTAACATAATTAACTAAAAAAATGCAAATCATACTAGAGGTTTGCAGTTTTCAGTAGAGGATATAATCAATAATCTTGATAGGATCAAAGCCTAATAGTGGTGGTGGTGTTTGGTGTTCTAGTGCCTTTGGTTTCTGTATCAGTGGGGTGTGGGTGTTGTTTATCTTCTTTTTTGTTCTTTGTTTTGCTTGGGTTGGTCTCTCGTCAACTTGGGTTTGCTTGTATCTGTTTGTGCTTCTTAAGTAGTGCCAACCTTGTTAGGATCATTTTTGTAGCTATGATGTATGCAGCCTTCCCCTCGCTTTATTGCTGAATGTATGAGTTGTCTCTTCTTTTCATCAATAAAGCTTCTCTTTGCCTATCAAAAAAAAATTAATTCTTCTCCTATACAATAATAAAATTAACTAAATTATTAATTAAAACATAATTCTAACATCATTAAAAATTGTTAACTGACTTGATAATTTATTAATAAAAGAGGCAATTTGTTATAAAATTATAAACCTCAAGGGGTGAAATGTAATTTCCAGAACCATAGGGGGCGATTCATATTTTAATCAAACCTCAGAGGATGAATTTATAATTTACCCAATTAACAATTAGTGACGTTTTTAATAGTATTTGATGAAAAACGTCATTGATTATTGGACAATAAGTCCACCTATTGAGACCTATACATAAGTCCCCCTTAAATTAATTAACAGAAGCTAGCATATATTTGAATTTTACATGAAACCTCAACAAAATTAAAAGGACTATATACACTCATGATCTCTAAAATATGCACCGTGTTACATTTTAGACCCTAAAATATGTGTATTTTTATTTTTTTTTAAGATTGATAAATATGTGTTTTTAATCTCAAACATTTTAATTTTCCTGCAATTTATTTTGTGAAATTTCAAAAATACCCCAACTCATGATAATCAATTTAGACGACATAAGAGTTGGAACCATTTAAGGCCTGGAGGCCAAATTACAAAAGAGAATAAGCCTCTATCAAAACCAATGAGCAATAGATGAAAAACATCTCTTTCATTCAAATCCTTGGATAAGGCCATTCTAGCCAAACAATGAGCAACATTATGATTCCCTTCCTTCAGAATTAGGAGCGAAATCAGAAATTTTATTAAGGTCACGGTGTGTACATAAAAAATAAGTTATTTTGATATATGACTAATTAAATATGATTCTTACATAAGCGTTGTAAAAGTAATAATTCATAAGGAAAATAATTAAATATATGTAATGAGTCTTTTTTTTTTTTTTTCTTTTTTTGTTCTTTTCCAAAATTTTGAACTGCCAACTGGGACTCAATATCTAATTGATTAGATAATAATTTTAAGTCATTTTATTAAAATATGCATACTTCTTTGATTTTTAAAATAAAATGAAAGAAAAAGTGATATGAAACAATTGATTTTTAAGATGAAACAGTTGGAAATCATCTCACTATATATTATGAAATGCTAATGAAATAGACAATTAATAAGGTAGCATTTAGTTTTATTTTGGAATCAAGATTCCAATTGAAAATTTTCAAAACTCATAACCAAACACTAATTTAAAACCCTTTTGAACAAAAAAAAATTTCAAAACTCATAACTAAACTTTTTTCAAAACTCTATTTTTAAAACAAAAAATATATATATATTTCCAAAAACAAATATTTTTTATTTTTTAAAAAATATTTTTTTGAAGAAGAAGAAAAATTATTGCTTTTTTTATTTTTTCAAAAAAAATATTTTGTTTTTTTTTAAGTACCAGCCAAATAATTTGTTATGATTTAGATATATATGGGCTAAATTGATCTACATTGAGCAATCAAATATATGGGCAATTCAAAAAAAATTAAAATTTAAAAAATAAAATATTTTAAAAAATAAAAAAATATATTTAAAATATTTAAAAAATATTTAAAAAATAACATAAAATATTTAAAATAAGAAAAATAGGAAAATATTTGAAATAAAAAAAATTAAATATTTTAAAAAAAATACAGCATACAAATGTAGTAAATACAGTCATATTAAAAAAATAAATATTTACAATAAAAAATATTTACCCTACAAAAATAAAATTATTAAATATCTAAAAAAAATAAACCCAAAACAATTTCAAAATACAATTCAAAACTCTTTTCAAAACTCATAACCAAATAAGTTTTCTTTTTGGGGATTTTTTTTAGGGTCCCTGGTATTAAGATTTTATAGCATAAAGGACATTCAATATTTTCAAAATGTCTAAGATCCCTCAATATCGATCCAGAGAAAATTCGATCCAGAGAAATTCTCTCCAGACTTTCCAGAAAAATTTTCTCCAAAGAAATTCTGGGAGATCTTTCATACAACAACCAATCAAATATTAAGTGGTTCACTTCTCAAAAAAATTCTCTCCAGAAAAATTAGGGGAAGAATTTTTCTAAACTTCATTGAAAAATTTTGGAAGATCTTTCATACAACAACCAATCCAATATTGAGTGGTTTACAAGAATTTCTCTAAACTTCACAAAGAAATTCTAGGAGATCTTTCCTACAATAACCAATCCAATATTATTGAGTGGTTCACTTCTCAAAGAAATTCTCTCGAGAGAAAAATTTTTCTGAACTTCACAGAGAAATTTTGAGAGATCTTTCATACAACAACCAATCTAATATTGAGTGATTCCTTGAGTTGAAAAGTAATCAAACAACAAATAATTGAATTAAAATACAAAAATGGATACCTGGCATTGTTTTTTTGTATTTGTTGAAGTGGAAAGATGCAGAGTAGTATTTCATATTTCTAATCAAACTACTAACGCTCTCTTTCCTAACACACAAACTCATTTTTTTAGATTGAGAATAGCTAACAATCTTGATGCAGATTTTAAAAGCAATTTCTCTAGTCTAGAGAGATAGAACACAACACACATCTATTGCCCCTTGAATTGAAGAGAGAGAAAGCAAAGCAAATACACAAAAAAAAAAAATTTCCACATCTACACTTTCTCTCACTATATTTACACGTGTTTCTGTGTATCACTGATTCGAAACCCTAGAGATTGTGTGTATCTCGAGAAGGTTTTGGTGTTTGATGTGAGATATTGTGGTAGATTCGAGATGAAGTTTTTGGCAACGGCCGGCGACGGCGGATGGACGGAGATCTATTACAATGGTGGTACGAACAAGCCTTCAGCAATGGTGATTGTTTGGATGGTGGTGATGGCGAGAAGTGAAAGAGGCGACGGAGCAAGTTTTGGCAAAGAGATCGATGGAAGCGAGGCATTGTCGTCCTCTAATAGCAATGGTAGAGAGAGAGAGTAAAGAGAGAAGAAAGAGACCAGGTTATGGACATTATGGGATGAGACAATCGAGATCACCTGGGATGTGAGGGAGACTTCAGAGAAGGAGTTTGGAGAGAGAGAGAGATGAGATTTGATTTGAGAGAGTTAAATTTTTCTGTGATAAATGTGTGTGGGGTTAAGAGACCTTAAATATCATAAAATAATATTGTAGATCTCTTCCACTATTAAAGAGACTTTAGACTAATTTTTTCCTTTTTCATTTCAAAAACTTATCTTTAAATATACAACTTTTTTTTTATCTAATTTAAAAATACAACTATACACTTAAATTATGATTCTAAAACTAAATCAAACGGAGAAGTGATTTTATTAAAATAGGGGATCATCCCATTACATATTTTGCAACTACTAATAAATATCGTTATAATAATCAAATTTTCAAAACAATTAACAATTCTTACATTTTATATACTCCCTCCGTCCCAAAATAATGGTCCCTTTTGGGAATCTAACTTTTTTTGGTAGTACAATTATTGCATTTGAAAAAAGTTGATTTTCCAAAATTATCCTTTTGATAGTACATTTTTTGAGAATATCAATGTCATAATTGTACTTTTTATATTGCTTATTAATTTAAAAGAAGAACAAAATAGAAAATTTATATTATTTTTGTACTTAATTTTTGAAGAGGGACTAATATTTTGGGACAATAAAAAATGAAATAAGGGACTAATATATGAGACAATCGAGATCGCCTGGGAATGTGAGGGAGACTTTGGGGGAGGGGTTTAAAGAGAGAGAAAGAGAGAGAGAGAGAGAGAGAGATGAAGTTTGATTTGAGAAAATTAAATTTCTCTATGATAAATGTGTGTGGGGTTAAGGACCTTAAACATCATAAAATAGTATTGTAAACTCTTCTATTACTAAAAATAAGAGAGGGATCTTAGACTAGTTTTTCCCTTTTTCATTTCAAAAACTTGTCTTTAAAAATATAACTTTATTTTTATTTTTTTTTATCTAGTTTTAAAATACAACTATACACTCAAATTATGATTCTAAAACTAAATCAAACAGAAAAGTGATTTTATTAAAATTGGGGATCATCCCATTACATATTTTACAACTACTAATAAATATCGTTGTAATAAT